TATACTCGAATTAGCATTTTCTCAGAAGCTGTTACCGTTGTCGTTTTTGCGAGTATGCAAGTGAAACATGTGCAAAACGATTTCTTAACTGAAACTTTTCTTATTACAAATAATTTCGGTGGCCTTGAAGTTTGCTTATAGTAGCGCACACTATGCAACACAGGCTGCTGCCACGTTGGTCGTAGAAACTTAAGCCGCTTTCCGGAATAAACGCTAACAGGTCTTGAGCATGTACTGTATAGAGCGTTATTCATGTAGGTCGCAGTCTGCGTGCTCTGCGCAAGAATTTGAGCTGTTTGCACACTGGAGCTTTCAGACTCGACGCTGTCACATTCCACCAAGCCTACATATGCCTTAAGAATTCGAAGTTTTTATAAGTTAGAATGGACTTTGACGTTCCGCTAGTATGCATCCCTAGCAAAGTTCACCCATTTTCGTCGCATTTAAAGCATTCCAATTTGGGCTGTATTGCATTGCATTAACCGTTTTTTATGTATTTTATTCAGTGCGGACCGCGAATTTTGGAAAGCAAGTGGTATTAGCACTCACTATTACAGTGGTGAAACTGAGTGATGAATTTTCGAAAGAACTTCAGGAAATGTAGTAATGATGAAAGGAATTTAGACGGAAAGGCATCAGAGTGTAGCACAAGAGGATGTGCTTTTGACTGAACCTAACAGTCATCAGAAAACATACGGGGGAAGGAAACTGGCAGGTTAGTCGAAATCTGGTCTCCTTGTGCAGCGTTGTTTGCTGTGTAACGCAGAGAAATTTTACTGGGTATATACGCTGGAAAGGTAATAACACTAGAGTTTCTCGGGGAACACTGAAATGATTTTCAGCAAAGGGATGTGACTAATGTACGAAAAAACTGAAGCTGCATACGTGGTTATTCCCTGACTCTAAATCCAGCCATGCCATTTATTCCCACAGGATATGAAGCATGGATAGTCCGCTGTTTCTTTTCGGTTTCGATGGTAGCAACTTCAGGAAGTTCCTCAAGTGATCACGCTCTTTGCCAATCAAGCAAGCTCTATTGGCGTGACAGTGTCAATTGCTCAATATGCTGAACCAGTTTGGTCGTTGGTCTTTCCGTTTAGCCGCCTGCTTCATGACTGCGATGAGTGTTCGTCTTGGTATTTAAAATAGTTTGCTGTTCGACTCAGCAAGTAATGCAATTTTCATCTGTTCAACTTTGTACTGTCATTAATTAAATATCATGGCCTGCCTGAATGACCCTATAGGCTTCTATAGCCAAGTTCTGATTTTGCAGCATGAACCTAGAAAACCAACGGGCATTTGTAATTCTTTTCGGCAGCAATAGTTTAACCAAGTTTTGCTTCGGAAGGCCAACATCTTCGATGTTCGGGGTTTAAAACTATCTGCTGCATGCTATGTTACAACAGAGCCCCTTGGTGAACTCATTTTCAAAAGCTAAAAACAACGGGTAGAAATATGTCAGACCAAGCTGGAGGTTGACGACGTGTTTTGAGTCTCTAACAGCACGTTTTCCGCTTCAAGTACGAAACTCCGCTTCAGGATGACAGTTATAACCGTAATAACCAGGTACAGTGAAAAGTATATAACGAAACTGAAAGGATCAAATATCCTAAACGTCATATCCTCAGAAATTCCACGTTCGATTCAGTGTCAACCAACAGCCTTTTACAAAAGATGTAGTCAAATTCAATAGTTAAATAAACGCATGAAGAAGGTCCGAAATTAAAAGACTGCGAGATGCTGACGCCGACGTTTCGGACGGTTAACGCATTGTCCATCATCAAGGTATACATTAACCTCTAATACTTGCAAAATACGAAGAAAGGAAAGACTGTAGCCGTTGGGATGTTGGTCTTTCTTACACTTTAACAACGAACCGCGATTTGTGATAATCTTGTTTGCGCTATGCCCAAGATGTCCAAGCGTTAGCGTTAATCCCCGCCGTCTTGTCCTCAGCTAGCAGTACCTTTTCTTTTAAGGCTATGCAGTAACCACTGTAGCGTCTCCTGCTTCTTACCTACGAAGCAGTACTCATTTATCAACCTCGGAAGGAAAAAGGTGAACGTACCAACCTAGCTCTAATTTGGAGCCTTTCGATTTTGAGTTCGACGCTCTGTCGATGAGCAACCCCGGTCAATTCGCAAAGGTTTCAGGGTCGAAATGGGTAAATCGGAAGAGCATCTAAGAAAATGCGTCACTTTAAATGAAACGGTTGCTGGAAATACTTTCTCAGAGAAAATGTTTCTGCTATGGCAATGTAATGGCCATTTCACTAGTATCGTATGAATGCGATGGTTCTGCACACTGCGAGATCCCGAGTAAACCAAAAAGCTGTTTCATTGGAATGTGGATAGCCAGTTTCCTAAGTGTAACATATTTTAGAGTTAAACTTGCGAAACTGTTAAGTAGAAAAGATCATTTTTGAATGGTCAAACTATACGCTGTACAATCAAAAGCACAAACCAACTCAGAAAAGTTGACCGAAAGTTCAAAGATAACGGCGGTCACAAAACGGTATCGAAGAATCGACGAATGCGAATAGCTGATGCTGTTTCACTGGAATCACTCCCCGTGTCGAAGAATCTGCACAAGTCTATTCATCAGTTCTTCGTCAGTTAAGGTGTCTTGTATTGCTGCTAGCTGTCTAAAATAGCAAAAGAAAAATCATAAAGGAAGGCATCTGAACTAATTAAAAATCAATAATTTGATCACAAGAATGGTAAATTGCAGCATTCAGCAATATCTAGACAACGATATTGTAAATATCTTTAACACATATTCTTATCCCATTACATCGAAGATGATGTCAGGTACCACATGGTCGTCCCACTTAATCAAATTAACTCGTGCACATTCTTCAACCCATTTGACGCCACGTCAGTTCCTAGAGATCTTCCTATCGCTTTGGAGATCGTCTTGTCAGCCGCCTGTAATCAGACTTTGCGTCCAGTACTCGCTTTGCAAGGCGGCTATCGTCGATTCGTTGACAATGTACCCATAATCTTAAACGTATTTTTGCAACCAGTGGGTCACTTTAGTCTGATATGCTAATCTCTCTTACAACAGCATTTGACTCTAGGCCATAGAACTTGACTCGTAATAATGACCTTAAAATTTTCATATCAGTCGTTTTGAGCATTCTATTTTCCGCTGTTACGTGCTGCCGTCCCTAAACCATAAAGCACGATGTTAAAGAGTGCAAGCCCTATATATCCGCAGCTTGATGCTAATATCCTTGTCCTTCCAGAGATTGAATAAAATGTTGCTCGCTTCCTACGTACTCCCAAGATGTAAATGGATACTTTTACCACAACTTTTGTATCAAGGGTCAGAAAGTCTTTGGTTCGGGTGCTACCAAGTTCCATCCACTTCGTCAGCTTTACGTTATTCGAGAGACCCAGATTAGAACATCTGTTTCAGAGTTAGGAAAAGTGATATCGCCGCATCAAACTTCTCGGCAAGCAATGCGTTATCATCCGCAAATGCATGAAAGTTTACAAAGACGCTGTCCACTCTTACCGTTGGAGCTTCACTCCTCCACAATCTTTGAAGGTCCAGTCAAGTAATATCGCACATAGCAGTGGAGCACTTCCCTTTTTCTTACTCATAACTTTATACGACAGAATTTGCCGAACCTTTCATCAGTTCTCATTGCTGGTGACGCAAGATCACATACGTTTATAATTTTGCGAATAGTCTTTGGTAGGATTTCGCCTTGTTCAAAAATTTTCCACCTAGCATCTCAAACTGAGACAAATGGTTTGAACAAATTAACGAAGATTTTCAAAGAATTTCGATAAAAATTTTCTCTCCTTTCTCATTAGCTGTCTCACTGTGAAAATCTGGTTCAAGCATCTGTATGTCTGAATCCAGACTGCTCTTCAGTCAAAACTTCTCTAGACGTTGTTTGATCCTATTCACTATATTACGCAGAACACTTCAGCAGAAATGGAGAGTAGGCTGATTTCACGGTAGAAATACGTATAGGAATGAGAATTTCGCAAGTTACCAAGAACAAGTACAATAGACATATATCTGCTCTGAACCAGTTACTGGAACGCCCGAGAGAACAGAGATTGCTCCTGTTCATTGTCTCTGTCGACTACTAGTCGATATTTGCGTTCAATTTAATCAGGCTCAATGGTTAACGAGTACAAAGAGCACTTGCAGAACAAGGTATCAACATGCGGTACATAGATCTGCTGAAAGAAGTGAATTCTGCAGGCAAAACAAACATCACGATGCTCGACACACAACTCATGGTATCAGTTAAGAAAGGCATGAAGCAAAGAGACAATTTCTGTAAAGTTCTTTCTCAGCCAATCCAGCAACGATGCTCAGGTGAAGAGACTAATGCGCTGGTGATATCGTGTTCACAGAATGTACTATCTCACCACAAGAAATGCTGACAAACTCGACAAAAAAGTGAACTGAACTACAACGGTCGAAAACAAAGTATGCAAATCAAATAACTGAAAGAAAATCTAGAAATAATAAATGGCTATATGTCAAAAGAAATGTGAAAATTATGTTTCCTAGGCCCAGGAAATCACCCTGTGATCAAACGGTAAAATTACCCAATTCACCAAGAACGTCCTTTAGGGTAGAAAAGCATAACACGAACCCATTTCTTTGACATAACAATATTGCTGGTGATTATGTAGGACAGCGAAACAGGGTCGCTGACGAAAGCGAAAGAAGAGTTTTTGGCAGAAAAAGTCAGAAACGAAAGATGCTGAGAATCTCGCTGCGGGAGCACATAACCAAAATCGAACAGCAAATTAGAATGAAAGACATCATCGTGGAAAACAGAAAGAACAAAATTCGATGGACTGGGCATGTAGCTTCGTTCGCTGACAACCGACGAATAAAAAATACCGTCGAGTGGTACGGAATCATTGAGAACCGTTCAGTCATCGGTCGCCCAACAAGAAAATTGTTTTACGATAAAGTCATTTTTTAAAGTGCCTGTAATACTTTTCAAAGTAGGTGTACTTAAAGGGTCTTTCAAAGGGTCCTTCTATGCAAGGACCCCTGATTATAGTTTATAAATATTAGTTTATTGAGATAGACTTTACTCATTTAATAATTAAAATAGTATAGCTCGGAGTCAGGAAATGTTCAACTATTATTCAAGCCGGGACAAGATCCACGACGATTTTCCATCTCAAGATGGCGAGCCACCTCTAGGAAAGATCAAAGATGGTAAAGCCATCCTCCCGTTTCTTGAATGACGAGTTCCGTTGTGGTGCCTGGGTCGTAGTTTCTGAATTGGAGTGCAATGTCAGTAATTTTGGTATTGGGACAAAAGAATGATGATGAATTGTAATGAGACCGCACGTGCATTTAAACAGCATACATCTGTTTGTTGATTATTTAATCATGCAACAGCGGAAGCCATAATAGACTGATCCTGTATGTTCCTTCTTGATTAATCTCGCTGCTTGTCCGTTCTACTGTGACTGCTTCCAAGATCTTTACGTTACGTTAGTTGGCTTCCGAGCGGATGATGCTGCTGGCTTCCCATTGCATGACGTAGTTCTTCAGCATGTTGTACTCTGCCACGCAAGAACCAAATCGCTGAACACGGTTGTTTCGGCAGAATAGAAGAAAACAGCTCTGCAATAGCGTAGATATGTTTATGCCTTCGTCTTGATGACACCGGGTACTTTCGACTGCCTCCTATTTAGTCTTTTCTCTGTGTCGTTCTTTTTAACTAAGTCAAAGCTACCCCTCGTATTATTGCGCATGTGCTCCTTCTTTCTTTCGTTGACTAATTCTTTCCCTCCTGCAAACTTTGTGGTCTTCGGTTCGTGTTTCATAAACCTTATTGTCGACGGCTGACCGCACTTCATGCTGCTGCTCAAAGAAAATGCCTATCTATAAAACCATAAAAATCTCAGCACAGAATTGCCATTCTAGTGCCGCAATAACGAAAAGCGTGAAGCACATAAGGCACTAAAAGCCGCTTTTGGGCAGCTTCCATAAGCCTTAAGCATTCAGCCACGATCTGCTTCGAGAATGAAATGAAACTTACAACAGCACTGGAGCGGAATTCTGTACAGATTAGCAAACTGAATAGGCGGAGAGAGAAGAAACATACAATCATTTGTGATTACCTGAGTGACAACATGAAGTGATGATAATTTGCAAACTGCTGGCTCTTCGCGTACGCATTACGCAGCACCTGAAAAGCATACAAGTGTAAATCCTACTTTTTCACTGTAAATTTCTAAAACGAGTTAAGTGCGACGTTTCCCCCAGCGGAAGGAGGCAACGGCACAGGAAACTCGTCATCAGGGAGCGGCTAAAACCCGAGTGCTGACAAAGAATGTAAGATTCGAATGATGATGTTCATTCGGTTCGAAATAAGAACGCAATTAACACTTACATTCGGACGAATGCCGGCCAACTTAGCAGCGTTGAAACCGTAGCTCTTTGGGCAAGCGCCTTTTGCCAACTTGTACAGAAACGTAACATTTTCTGACACAGGGTCATCCAATTCCTTTTCGACAACGCAAGCCTTAAGAATCATTAAATCTCTGATCAGTGTAAATCGCCCGAAGACCACGAGCAGTATTAACCAGCGGTTATTAATACAGGTCACCATCGCAGAGCACTAAGTACATGTCAGTGATGAGAAAAGTAACAAACAAAAACCAAATCACCAAATTCGTTGTCCACGCATTTCTAATGCCCAAAAAATCGTTCTGCATATCCCAGCACATTAAACACAATCAAATCTATGGAACCTACCCATTAGTACCTTAAAAAACAATTAACCAAAAGATGTTGCAGAGCTTCTTTCACCGTAAAAAGTTCAGACTATCTCCTCTCCCGTCGCAATTAGAACATATCCAATTGCATACGAATCACAACTAAACATGCGTCGACAACTGTCTTACCCAGTGTTCCTGCAGACGAATTTAAAGCCCTCAAAGGTCCTTGCAGCACTAACTGACCTTGCTCTGAAAGAACTATTTGTTATTTCGTTGTACGAGATATTTGTGACAACTTTCACATGGCTAATATTATCCTGAGTAGCAGCTGCATCATTCAAAAAGCTTATGGCTGATTCGCGCTAGAAGTGTTCATACGGACTGAGCCTCATACCAAATCTGTCAACGCAACTTTGGTGACGAGAATTTTCTAAGATCCTGAGAAGAGCAAGAAAAACCGTTTTATGATTAGATTGCATTGATTGTTTCGCGTTTCCTCTCTTTCTCAGTTTCATTTTTACTTCTTGTCTTTATACACCTCTTTTATTTTTGTTCTTATTGTACTTCTCATTTTTACCTACTCTTTGACACGAGTAATACTGATCGATGCCATCTAGATTGTAATGAATGTGCGACTACATTATGTTAAATCTCACATTTATTTCGATTCTGTTTTCTGACTTTTTGTTAAAAATGCTCAAAGAGCAAAACTTCAAATTTAGGCACACTAGTACAAATGAGACGACAGTTTACAGGGTATACCTTATGTATTACAGCATCATTTCTATCCTCTTAATGCAGAGAAGTCGGTTCCGCCAACTTTCTGACCTACTTTCAGGATTAGTAGTGAAAGAATCTTCTTCTAAAGAGAAATGCGTTCAAAACAAGGCAAAATCCGCAATCACCAATCAATTATCTGATAGCATACGATCGGCCAACACGGCTTCACCAATATCACAGTATCTGAAGAGTAGCTTCCCCTTCATCGCAGTGTGAACTAGCATGTGTTCCTGCATTACAGCAGTTGCTTGTTCTTTACAAAGCGAACACGAGTCTATATTTATGAATAGGCTTCTAACGTCATAAATTTCGAACTCCGCTATATTCAAACATCGACGCTTCTGTCACCGAAAACAGGAAGTTACAAAATTACGGATCACATGACGCGTACGCGCACTCGTGAGCCGCTGCCCTAAAACTAACAGAAACTGTCATGTAACAAAGTTTGAAAAGTTCTGTTTTGTCTTAAAGAAGGAATTGGGGATCACTATCGTCCTTGAAGAAGGCATGATGAGATCATTTCATCACGCTCGCTGACTGACGGATATTTTGCATTAGCAGAAAGCAACTGCCTTTCCGCATATAGTTATACTTTTGAATTTCGTTAACACTTAATAACAGTTGTTTATCTTCGTTAATTATTAAATTAGCTAGAAACGATAAAGAACCATTAGTGAGCGGGAACGACGTCAAACAGCATAACTAAGCATATTATCATAATTACCGTTTTAATTTGATATTCAGCAGACGTAGATATTACAGTAGCTAAAGATCTTATAGCAATCTTCTCCTGTCCTTTTCTGTTACGTGCGGGCCAGAGCTACGTGTCCATTTTGGGATCTACACTAAGCATGCTCATTATTAAAACAATATAATAAAATTACACGTCCATATCGTGAGTTCACATGTCATACTTGAAAGACTTAAGGAATCTTACCGAATTTACGAATAAGAAAAAACGTATACCAACCATGTGACCGACGAAAACGTTCGGATGATCACTGAAGTCTTTTACGACCGAATGGTAATGCGTAGAAAAGATAGTGCGACAGCAGACGTTGTTGGCGAGTTCCTTGAGAACGGCGAAGGCGATCGCCGTGCCGTCGTGAGTCGACGTTCCGCGACCGAGTTCGTCGATAATCACCAGAGAATTAACGGTAGCATTCTTGAGGATTGAGTTCGTTTCACTCAATTCAACAAAAAATGTGCTTTGGCCTGAAACCATTTCAATCAAAAACGATAAGATAAGCAACAACAAATTTTGCGTGTACGATACCGCAAACAACGTTGTAATAACAAGAGGTGCCGATGAATCGAAAACGACTTGCGTGCACGTCATTAAAAGCGTCGTTGGATATACGGTACAACGAACTCTAGCGGTGACGCTATAGCAATGCTGTTTGATGCGTGCGGTCAAGGACTGCTATTCGTCTTGTCCTACCTGATAACCGATTAAAAATCAGTCCAAGGTGTAACTCGTAAATAAGAAACTACAACGATACTAGCGCTACTCTCCCCGGAAGTCGAAACTGAACCCCTCTATCGTCACCAAGCCAAGGTCAATTCCACCTAGCAGCAGTGGTCAATGTCACTGCGTCATCTAGCAACTGCAAATCATTCACAATTCAAAACACATTTCTCGAATTTTTCAGGCATATACCACAGACTCAGCGTAGGCATAAAGCCGATAATCTTTGCATTTTAAAAATACATGCAGTCCAGAGGCAGACAACTCTCGGTACCACTGCTCTACGTTTCCTGCTATCATTGAAACTGCTGCGCCTCTCAAGCGTGGGCTTATCAGTGGACATGATAAAGTTTTCAGGGAAAAACTGCACAGCTTCAGACAAGATTGCTGATGGTCCACTATAAGAATAGAAACGCACTGACGCACTTTATTTTCTGTTCAAAGAAAACAGGAATTATCAAATGATGGATCGCCATTATAGAGAACAACACCATATTAACCAAGTCTCAAAGCATACCATGTAGAATGTTGTCACTGGCGCCGATACGCGTAAAAATCCGGTCCACCGGGGTCATAAGGCACGAACTAGCGGGAACTTTACAACCGATCTGAGCTAAGATCACGATCAATGCTACCTGGCGCATTAAAGTCGTTTTGCCGCCCATGTTTGCACCGGTCAGCAGCAGAACCATCGGAGATTTTTGACAATTCTATGAAGGAAATGATAAAAGCGAATATTATAAATATTTGTTCATCAGACTATCATCAGTACAGCTTTGTATGTCAGTTTGAATGGTACGAAATAATGACACCTTCAGATGTTCTTACCTTAACGTCACCGATTTCGGTGTCGTTAGGAATAAATTGCGTGGCGAGCGTTCGAGTGTTAACGAAACAAGGGTGAACGCCAGAACTGATGGAGATGAACGGCTAAACAGATAACAACAGCATGATAAAGGTTTCCACTCTCGAAACACTTACTGATCGCGAGTCTGACGGAATGACACTGGGAAAGCACATGCAACAACTGGACGTAGAATATTTGGCCAGCGAAAATAACACGTCCCATAACGACGCGCATTCAACCACCGCTAGCCATTTGTCACCTCTAACGGAAAAACGCATGTAAAACGTCATTTACAGGTATAGCGTAAAGTTCCATCTCTTCATTTCCGAACGCGAAACACAGATAAAAAGGTAGAAATGGTCGACCAATGAAAGACTGA